AGCTCCCATTAGTTCCAACCTAGGTAAGGTGAGTGGTTTTAAAGGCGCTAATTTTGTATTTCCTAAATACGATTTTTAACGAAAAGCTTAAATTTCTTTGCACAGTCTTTTATCCAGAAAAGTGTGATTTTTGAATCAGTCCAAAGAAAACAAGAAAGTTGTACCTTCAAAACTTTAGTGATGCTAGTGCCCAGTTTGGCTGATAAAAGAGCTCCCATTAGTTCCAACCTAGGTAAGGTGAGTGGTTTTTAAAGGCGCTAATTTTGTATTTCCTAAATACGATTTTTAACGAAAAGCTTAAATTTCTTTGCACAGTCTTTTATCCAGAAAAGTGTGATTTTTGAATCAGTCCAAAGAAAACAAGAAAGTTGTACCTTCAAAACTTTAGTGATGCTAGTGCCCAGTTTGGCTGATAAAAGAGCTCCCATTAGTTCCAACCTAGGTAAGGTGAGTGGTTTTAAAGGCGCTAATTTTGTATTTCCTAAATACGATTTTTAACGAAAAGCTTAAATTTCTTTGCACAGTCTTTTATCCAGAAAAGTGTGATTTTTGAATCAGTCCAAAGAAAACAAGAAAGTTGTACCTTCAAAACTTTAGTGATGCTAGTGCCCAGTTTGGCTGATAAAAGAGCTCCCATTAGTTCCAACCTAGGTAAGGTGAGTGGTTTTAAAGGCGCTAATTTTGTATTTCCTAAATACGATTTTTAACGAAAAGCTTAAATTTCTTTGCACAGTCTTTTATCCAGAAAAGTGTGATTTTTGAATCAGTCCAAAGAAAAAACAAGAAAGTTGTACCTTCAAAACTTTAGTGATGCTAGTGCCCAGTTTGGCTGATAAAAGAGCTCCCATTAGTTCCAACCTAGGTGAGTGGTTTTAAAGGCGCTAATTTTGTATTTCCTAAATACGATTTTTTAACGAAAAGCTTAAATTTCTTTGCACAGTCTTTTATCCAGAAAAGTGTGATTTTTGAATCAGTCCAAAGAAAACAAGAAAGTTGTACCTTCAAAACTTTAGTGATGCTAGTGCCCAGTTTGGCTGATAAAAGAGCTCCCATTAGTTCCAACCTAGGTAAGGTGAGTGGTTTTAAAGGCGCTAATTTTGTATTTCCTAAATACGATTTTTAACGAAAAGCTTAAATTTCTTTGCACAGTCTTTTATCCAGAAAAGTGTGATTTTTGAATCAGTCCAAAGAAAACAAGAGAAAGTTGTACCTTCAAAACTTTAGTGATGCTAGTGCCCAGTTTGGCTGATAAAAGAGCTCCCATTAGTTCCAACCTAGGTAAGGTGAGTGGTTTTAAAGGCGCTAATTTTGTATTTCCTAAATACGATTTTTAACGAAAAGCTTAAATTTCTTTGCACAGTCTTTTATCCAGAAAAGTGTGATTTTTGAATCAGTCCAAAGAAAACAAGAAAGTTGTACCTTCAAAACTTTAGTTATGCTAGTGCCCAGTTTGGCTGATAAAAGAGCTCCCATTAGTTCCAACCTAGGTAAGGTGAGTGGTTTTAAAGGCGCTAATTTTGTATTTCCTAAATACGATTTTTAACGAAAAGCTTAAATTTCTTTGCACAGTCTTTTATCCAGAAAAGTGTGATTTTTGAATCAGTCCAAAGAAAAGAAGAAAGTTGTACCTTCAAAACTTTAGTGATGCTAGTGCCCAGTTTGGCTGATAAAAGAGCTCCCATTAGTTCCAACCTAGGTAAGGTGAGTGGTTTTAAAGGCGCTAATTTTGTATTTCCTAAATACGATTTTTAACGAAAAGCTTAAATTTCTTTGCACAGTCTTTTATCCAGAAAAGTGTGATTTTTTGAATCAGTCCAAAGAAAACAAGAAAGTTGTACCTTCAAAACTTTAGTGATGCTAGTGCCCAGTTTGGCTGATAAAAGAGCTCCCATTAGTTCCAACCTAGGTAAGGTGAGTGGTTTTAAAGGCGCTAATTTTGTATTTCCTAAATACGATTTTTAACGAAAAGCTTAAATTTCTTTGCACAGTCTTTTATCCAGAAAAGTGTGATTTTTGAATCAGTCCAAAGAAAACAAGAAAGTTGTACCTTCAAAACTTTAGTGATGCTAGTGCCCAGTTTGGCTGATAAAAGAGCTCCCATTAGTTCCAACCTAGGTAAGGTGAGTGGTTTTAAAGGCGCTAATTTTGTATTTCCTAAATACGATTTTTAACGAAAAGCTTAAATTTCTTTGCACAGTCTTTTATCCAGAAAAGTGTGATTTTTGAATCAGTCCAAAGAAAACAAGAAAGTTGTACCTTCAAAACTTTAGTGATGCTAGTGCCCAGTTTGGCTGATAAAAAGAGCTCCCATTAGTTCCAACCTAGGTAAGGTGAGTGGTTTTAAAGGCGCTAATTTTGTATTTCCTAAATACGATTTTTAACGAAAAGCTTAAATTTCTTTGCACAGTCTTTTATCCAGAAAAGTGTGATTTTTGAATCAGTCCAAAGAAAACAAGAAAGTTGTACCTTCAAAACTTTAGTGATGCTAGTGCCCAGTTTGGCTGATAAAAGAGCTCCCATTAGTTCCAACCTAGGTGAGTGGTTTTAAAGGCGCTAATTTTGTATTTCCTAAATACGATTTTTAACGAAAAGCTTAAATTTCTTTGCACAGTCTTTTATCCAGAAAAGTGTGATTTTTGAATCAGTCCAAAGAATAAAGAAAGTTGTACCTTCAAAATTTTAGTGATGCTAGTGCCCAGTTTGGCTGATAAAAGAGCTCCCATTAGTTCCAACCTAGGTAAGGTGAGTGGTTTTAAAGGCGCTAATTTTGTATTTCCTAAATACGATTTTTAACGAAAAGCTTAAATTTCTTTGCACAGTCTTTTATCCAGAAAAGTGTGATTTTTGAATCAGTCCAAAGAAAACAAGAAAGTTGTACCTTCAAAACTTTAGTGATGCTAGTGCCCAGTTTGGCTGATAAAAGAGCTCCCATTAGTTCCAACCTAGGTAAGGTGAGTGGTTTTAAAGGCGCTAATTTTGTATTTCCTAAATACGATTTTTAACGAAAAGCTTAAATTTCTTTGCACAGTCTTTTATCCAGAAAAGTGTGATTTTTGAATCAGTCCAAAGAATGAAGAAAGTTGTACCTTCAAAATTTTAGTGATGCTAGTGCCCAGTTTGGCTGATAAAAGAGCTCCCATTAGTTCCAACCTAGGTAAGGTGAGTGGTTTTAAAGGCGCTAATTTTGTATTTCCTAAATACGATTTTTAACGAAAAGCTTAAATTTCTTTGCACAGTCTTTTATCCAGAAAAGTGTGATTTTTGAATCAGTCCAGAAAAAACAAGAAAGTTGTACCTTCAAAACTTTAGTGATGCTAGTGCCCAGTTTGGCTGATAAAAGAGCTCCCATTAGTTCCAACCTAGGTAAGGTGAGTGGTTTTAAAGGCGCTAATTTTGTATTTCCTAAATACGATTTTTAACGAAAAGCTTAAATTTCTTTGCACAGTCTTTTATCCAGAAAAGTGTGATTTTTGAATCAGTCCAAAGAAAACAAGAAAGTTGTACCTTCAAAACTTTAGTGATGCTAGTGCCCAGTTTGGCTGATAAAAGAGCTCCCATTAGTTCCAACCTAGGTAAGGTGAGTGGTTTTAAAGGCGCTAATTTTGTATTTCCTAAATACGATTTTTAACGAAAAGCTTAAATTTCTTTGCACAGTCTTTTATCCAGAAAAGTGTGATTTTTGAATCAGTCCAAAGAAAACAAGAAAGTTGTACCTTCAAAACTTTAGTGATGCTAGTGCCCAGTTTGGCTGATAAAAGAGCTCCCATTAGTTCCAACCTAGGTAAGGTGAGTGGTTTTAAAGGCGCTAATTTTGTATTTCCTAAATACGATTTTTAACGAAAAGCTTAAATTTCTTTGCACAGTCTTTTATCCAGAAAAGTGTGATTTTTGAATCAGTCCAAAGAAAACAAGAAAGTTGTACCTTCAAAACTTTAGTGATGCTAGTGCCCAGTTTGGCTGATAAAAGAGCTCCCATTAGTTCCAACCTAGGTAAGGTGAGTGGTTTTAAAGGCGCTAATTTTGTATTTCCTAAATACGATTTTTAACGAAAAGCTTAAATTTCTTTGCACAGTCTTTTATCCAGAAAAGTGTGATTTTTGAATCAGTCCAAAGAAAACAAGAAAGTTGTACCTTCAAAACTTTAGTGATGCTAGTGCCCAGTTTGGCTGATAAAAGAGCTCCCATTAGTTCCAACCTAGGTAAGGTGAGTGGTTTTAAAGGCGCTAATTTTGTATTTCCTAAATACGATTTTTAACGAAAAGCTTAAATTTCGTTGCACAGTCTTTTATCCAGAAAAGTGTGATTTTTGAATCAGTCCAAAGAAAACAAGAAAGTTGTACCTTCAAAACTTTAGTTATGCTAGTGCCCAGTTTGGCTGATAAAAGAGCTCCCATTAGTTCCAACCTAGGTAAGGTGAGTGGTTTTAAAGGCGCTAATTTTGTATTTCCTAAGTACGATTTTTAACGAAAAGCTTAAATTTCATGCAAATTTGACATTTGCTACATTCTGCCTTCATGATGTAGTAGCCAATAATGTATATGAGTCACATTGTTCTCAGTTTTATAGATATATGAAACATGCATCTAAACCACTTAAAAAAAGGAAAAATTTTAGAAAATATCAAACTTGGGAAGAAAAATACTGTTTATACTGAAAAAGACATTTACAATATTCCATTCGGAATAAATCTTACCCCTGAAAATAAAACTGAAAAAATACTGTACAAGAGAAATACTGTTCATATTGAAAAAGAAGTTTACAACACCATTCCATTTGCAATAAATGTTACTCATGAAAATAAAACTGACCAGCTAAGATTTACATTGAATTAAAAAAGTAATGAATATTAAGTATTTATTACAATGTACAGCCACACTTGAATGCACTTGAAAATTAACTGCAATTTAAAGATTGCAATTAAAGATGCAATTTTAATTTATCCAACTTAGCAAAAGTTTAAGTTCTAAGCATTAGCATCAAGTAAAGGTTAAATTAGAAATTCAAATATACAAACCTCTATCTGCAAATGGAGAAGGCATAGGAGGAACTGCAGAAGCAGCCATAACAGGCACCCTGTCACCATGTAATGGAGGTCTTAATGGAGGATTAGCTGGAGCTCTGGGTGCAGGTGCAGCTGAACTTGACAACTGGGTGACAGCTGGTGAAACTGTCATAAAAAAGTAATATACAGATTTTACTAGCACTAGCTAACATAAATACATGAAAAATCTGTTATTGTTACTCTGATGGGTGATGAAAATAATTTAGAAGATGATTAATTAAAGGTGCTGCAAAGAATGGAAACAGCTCTCAAAATAGGCAATTTACCAAGTCAAATTCAGGATTAACATATTAAATATGAGCAGATTTTATTTGTTTCTGATGTTAAAAAAGTAATATACTTACATGTTGGAAATGCAGGAGGAGTTTCATTTACTGGAGGAATCATCTACAGAAATGGAAGTTAAAACAGCAAAATCAATTTCAGTAATTCCCATCTGTTATTACACAGTACATTTACAAAGTTCTAAGACTAAATTTTTTGAATCAGTCCAAATGGATCTGTTGAATATCTACTATTGGCAAGGATTTTCCCAGTCTCAATAGTTTATTCTTTAAAATATTCATCTATGCAAAGCAGTTTCAATAGCTAAACTAATTGGAATACATCGAATATGTGAAGAGACTATACTAAAATTGGATGGCAAAGATTTTCCCAGTCTCAAAACTTTTTCTTTAAAATATTCATCTATGTAAAGCAATTTCAGTAGCTATACTAAAATTGGAATACATTGAATATGTGTACAGGAAGAATATCTCCATAGATAATGTTTTAGGAAAAATTGGTTCATATTCATATTATACGAGAAAAATTGTGAAACTTCCCATACAACCAGCCTGTTCACAAGATTTGAACCTCAACTTTCAATGGAGTTTCAATGGAGTTTTTATTTGAACTTATGCAGCCAATTTGCCATTATGCATTCAATCATATCTTTATTTTGCTGAAATAACAAAGTGAAAGTGATCTCTATTTTTTTAAACAAATTACTAGTAGTGTTGAAAGCTGGTACTTTATTTGAAATTATGAGTCAAGCTAACAATCATTGCACTGATAATTGAAAAGTCACTTTGATCACAGAAGATTCCAGTAAAAATCCTATTTAAATATTTTTGAATTAATACAGCTTATGTTTTTCTTAATTCCAATGAATTTAAGTTATAAAAAGAATTTACTACATTAGGCAGCCAAAAAAAACATCAATCAGGTGTAAGATTTTTGTTGCTTTTTACTTAATTGTATGAAGTAAAAAAGGAAGTATTGTAATCGCGAAAAGTTTCAGGCAGCATATTTTAACGAAAATATCCATTTTGACCAATATCGAATGCAATTTAACAATGTTTTTGCATGTCATCTGTACATAACGACAGAATAAAAGACTCTTTTTCTCCAAAAAAATCATAAAACTGCTTTGAAATTAATTCTGAAGAGAAATTTTCGTGGCGTCTGTGCGAACGTACGTATCTCGCATAACTCAATAACAAGTACCCTCAGAACGTTGAAATTTTGTATATAGGACTGATATAACATGTAGATGTGCACCTCGTATTTTGGTTGCAACGGCCGCACCAAACGTATATAAATATATTATATATATATCCACTCTTGTTACTCGGCTCAGTTATCTCAGTTTTCTTTACTCTTATATGTTTGTAAAATTGTACATTTTTTGCCTTTTAAAAATGATTGAATTATGTTGTTCTTATCTTCTGGTTAAGGTTTTTATGCCTTAGGAAATCTGGAAGCATATTTGTACAATTACCATCAATTTAAAAAGTGTTTAAGTGCGGTTAAGTTTTTTACATGGCGGACATATTTGTTTACATTTGAAACAGCAGAGAAATAGTAGATTTGTTGCCAATCTAGAGAGACAAAGCTACGCACAACAAAGAAACACCAGTCATTTATTATTGTGAATTAAATCATGCTTATTTCTTTCTGGAAAATTTTTTCGATGAAAATAAGTGTTTAAAGATTTACTTCGTAATTTTTATACAGATATTTTTTGAGTTTTTTGTGTTTTGCCTTTCGCAAGTGAGACTGAATTAATTGCATGAGAAATACTGAATCGTCTATGAAAAACTGTTTCGTTTTTGCTTTGTTTTTGCTTAATTTCTTTTATACATCGTTCTAGCTTTATTATAGTATTTGAACAGAACATGTGGCAACAATTAGATAATTCTTCAAATGACTAAATTTTTGTGCATTCTGAGTTATAATATGAACGAAATATTAAGTGAACTAGCACTAGAGTGTCGCTAGGCTAAACAAATGTATTAGTAATTTTAAATAGTGCATTATTCTATTGTGGTTTATGTGCTGTCGACGAAGTAGATTTAATTCAATTCAATACGTTTAAATGAAATGCAATTAAAAATGTGTATAATTTAATATTCCGTACAAGGAAGTCATGTAGTGTACACATCAGATTTTTTACATTAAGCAATTACCTTTAGGTCCAAAAAAATATTTTAATAAGTATCCCCTTATTTGCCAGATTTAACATTTTACAGAGTATTTTGTTTTCCTTAAAGTGAAATCTCAAAGAACATGATCATGTTAACATTTCTAAAATTGAAAATGTATAAGAATAGAATGAAAAAAGTTCCAATAGTTAACTTCTATAATAACATCTAGAAGTTTTAAGAACATAATATTGAACATAAAGAAAGAATATATGTAGAAAGCTAAACAATGATCATGAAAATATGCAGAATTTTTATGAACAAGACAAAAAATACCCAGCATAAGACAGAATAAGTGTAAAAGATTAATCAGTGATACTCTGAGGATATTTATTATATTTTATAAATATTCAAAATAAAACACAGAATAAAAAGCAATGCCTTTATAAGACTAAACTGAGATAATATAAAATATATCAAAATTTTATGAACATACCAAGAAACATTAAAATGTCAGAAAGAAAGTACACACAAAACTAAAGTTATTTTTGTCAAATTTCAATAAATTCAGTAAAGTGTACGTACAACGTGTATGTAATACAAAGATAGAAAACACCTCACATAAAATGCTTATATAGTCAGTCTACAAAGGTTAGTGTCAGACTTCAGTAGATTGAAATGTGGTTCACCCAATACTTATGTGGCAGTGTACAGACTTAAATTTACCAGCCTTGCTTGATTGTTACTTAAATGGCAAGTTCTACAGAGGTTAGTGTCAGAATTCAGTACATTGAAATGTGGTTCATTCTTATTATTATAGCCCTCATTACTTAAATGGCACCAAAATTATCAGTGAATTGCCAACATGCGTCATAAGCCATTGCCAGATGGACAACAGTTCTTAGCAACTTTCTCACTTCTTAATAAATCAAAACTGTTAATATTTTTGGAAAAAAAAAAAGTGACTATGGCCAGTTAGTCCCACTGGCCATTTAGCAATGTGATATATAATGATGATTTATTAATAATTTTGGCACCATTTAAATTACAGTTATTTACACAGTAAGCATCTACTGAAGTTAATACAAACTTCAATAGACTGATTAAAACAAAATACAATTAACCTTTTGAGGCCGGGGCTTTGGTAAAAGCTACCAAAGTACGGGGAATCTTGAACCGAATGCTTTCCCCACTTTAAGAAATCACCTCCTATTTGCAACAAAGATTCTTGTGTGTAGTTTAATGCATTCTCAGAGGGGTGTCTATGTCGCAAAAGAAAGAGCTTTGAAAGAAAAAAGTGGTTAAAATCCCAAGGACATCAAATTTGACATTTCACCACTTTTCAAGCCTAGAAAAGGGGAAACGCTGGCCACTAAAGTGGACAACCCCGTCTTTTCAAAGAGAGGACTCTATAATGGCCATCCCGTCTTCAAAAGGTTAAACTTTCTTGAACAAACTCCGATTAGATAAAATAAATCTTTTTTATAATGGAGATTTGAAGTCTGATAATTTTGTGCTTCAGCTAACATGATCTGAACCCCAGAATACAAAATTTACTTACACTTCTGATGAAGGTTAGGTTATTTAAATACAGAAAACATATGATGGGGCCAAAATCTGATGAATAATTCTTATGACTAATAAAATATTTATATTAGAAATAATACTTTACACAATTAATCAAAAGCATACAGAAACAATTTATAAGTAGCTGCTACAAATGATTATTGACCAACACAGGCTTTGATTTATCAGCAACTAAAGCCAAAAAGTTATACACATCTATTTCATTAAGTTGCAATTCAATGACAATTAAAAAGAGCCGGTGACCAGAAAATGCAGAATGTCAACCGAGAGAGTGAAAGCCAGCAGCTCCAATAGGAATGTTTCGGTGAAAAAGTCCAGACTGCCACAATACGCTGAAGAATAAAGGAAATCAATTAGAATCAAAAAGATTGAGCAGAAAAGTGGAGGTGGCTTGGAAAGGACATGATGACCAGTAGTCCAAAAGATGGGTTTGATTACAAAGAATTAGCTATACATCATGAAGAGTTTGTGGAAAAAGAGATTGCTGATTACAACAGAAACAAAACTGAAAATTTAGTTTACTGGTGTAATTAAAAAATTTATTTTATGGTATGTGAACCAAGTTGCTAGTTTGTTTTAAGTTTTACCTCAAGTGAGACTATTTAAGTGGTTAAGCACAGCTAAGAAACATTTATATGTTAACGAATACATCTATTAGAAGTTATCTTGTGCATTAAACACTCTTATATTAGCTTAACTAAAGAGACTGTAATTAGGAAATTTTAGTGCCAGCCAAAATATTTTTCCTGCAAGCATCTGAAAAGAGGTATAAGCCAAAGAAAAAAAGTCTGGAGTGACACTTTTGTTGGAAGAAATGATGAATGTTAACAGTCTTAGAAGTAATGTCAAGTTAACCTTCTAAAACCGGGCCGAAATTCTCATAATATAATATAGCCTTCAGACCGGCACGACCTGAAACAGTTTTGCCCCCTCTTTGACATTTTCCTAATGAGAAAAGTTGTTAGTTCCCCTCCATGGATGCAATAAAATTTACATGTTTGTCGGATGCTGTCCCATAGTAGATGGGTTGCTAGATTTGCGATTTTTCCGATGATTATTTTGCTTTCATTTAAATGAAGTTCTAAATAAATAGTGCATAAATAAATATGCAGTACTGGATGCATATCCAGTGCACTATTTATTTAGAACAAAATGTATGGAATGTTTATATTTCTCTCACTATTTCTGATCAATCTCATAAATAATTTGTGAATTTCGTATTTTTGTTTTCACTCTTCATCTATATTTGCATATTTTCGTATTAGATTAGGAAACGAGAAAATTTTACAAAATATAATAAATACGAACTAGCTTTGTAAGTCTGCAGGCGAAATGCGATTTTATAACACATTCATTAACAAAAAAATAACGATAATGACTAATTTAATGAAATAA